TGACTTTTGCACTGTGTTCATCTTTATCTTTCCTGGGTCTTTCATATTTGTAATTGACAGCATCATTTTCAAATTTCATATTTGATATTAACTGAAAGTGTGCTTTCTGCAGATTTTATAATTTTTTCCCTTATATATGATAGCTACCTCTGTCTATCCTTCAGTTCATCCATCCATCCAACTACTCAGTCTGCACCCCTTACCTACAGGGCTTCCTGCTGGGAACTGCATCATTAGACGCATCATTGTTTTTAGAACATCACAGTGCATATTTACACCAATGTCACTGGGCAATAGAAACTTATGGAACCACACCATGTCTTTGGTCCATCATTGACCAAAATGCCTTTATGTGGTGCATTATTAAGATTCACTGAATCTACCTGCAAACATATTCCATTACCAATTTATGCACTTATTGTTGGAGGGAAAAAAAAAAGTTTGCTCAATGACTGTCTGCTGGCACAACAGTGGTTTTATTGGATTTTAGAAAGCCACTGCGCTGCTGCCTGCCCTTTAGAAAGCCACCTCTAAAAGTATTGAAGGTGACATCTTTTCTTCAAATATTATGATCAGGAGGAGACTTTGTATATACTGGAATTTAAGGACACTTGAGGTAGGCAGCAATTAGTTTGATTCTTGATATAAGTTTTTGGACATGTATATTTTATTTGGCACTTTTTTGCAAATCTCATTTTTCCTGTTCAAAACAATCCCTGGCGGTGTGGAATTCTTCCATAAAGTATTCATGCATCTCACCATTTTGTCTAAGGTAAAGAAATAGTATAATGTCTAACTTTTACATACATGTGTACAAAAGTGTACAGTGTGTTAAATTTAGCAATAATATCATCTCAGAGTCATTATTAAACTTATTTTAGCCCGATACATATCACCTTCCTGCTAAAATAAACAGAGTGATCTGGCTCTAAGGTATCAGAAATTCACTTGGAATAGATATCCAGATATAAAAATATATACATACCTTCAAAATACCCCAAGTTCAAGTACAGCCAGTTTCCTTTCTGCTTGCTTGTACCACAGTATCATAAGGTCAGAAGAACGGCTGCAGCTTTCTTCTGACTGTTTCATCTTAGTGCTTGTCTTTGACCTTCTCCTCTGCGATCATGTATCTGGGTATCTGAGTATTGGGGTTCTTGCTTTTAGCCTCTCAGAAAAATCAGTGACAATTGCCAATAACCATTTAGCTTCCAGTTCTCTGAAAGGGATCCGGGAGGAAAACCTATGTATAGAGTGCATTAGTCTTGCTGCATTCTCTGGCACAAAGGAAATGTACTATATGGGAGGTGAAGATGGTCACTGTTTGAATTTGAAGATGTGCTCTATTTTCCTGGTACAAGACATATTCTGGTATTCTTGAAAGTTCTTCTGTTTTATAAATCACATCTAGTTGCACCTTGATTCATTGTGTGATGAAACACACATTTTATTTATAATAAAATGTGTTTCTAAAATTAAATGCATGAACATATACATGGGTATACACATGCATTTTTAAAATTTTGCAAATTCATCTTATACACATAGGGAGAACATCAAGGAAAGACATTTTGTGACAACGTATCTCTATTTGATGCTCATCACTTGATTACTTTTTAATTACTTTGCGCTATTTATTGAATTTTGATAAATGGTATCCTCTCAAAGATATCAGGGTGTTCTTGACCTGTTGTTGAATAAGCATGAAGGAACCAGCGAATCCTGGTGTGTGTCTGATAAAAGAGACATTCAGTTTTCCCTGCAGAAACCTTCCAGGCTCCCTACCCTGAGCAGGGAAGAGCAGTCTGGAATTCCTGCTGAGGAACCTGCTGCTACACTCTGGAGGAAGAGCAAGGAGAGCTAGGAGGGTCTAAGGGAATGCCTCCAGGGCAGAGTGCACCTCCAAGATGTGGAGGCTGCCTTGGTTTTCTGGATATGGATTCCTTTAATGCTCCGGTATGGGTATTAGCAAATTTTAAAAAATAATAATAAAAATTTAAAAAACTAAAATCATTACTAAAGGCACAGCTGTCCTCTGTCCTAAGCATTCTGGAAGTATTTGCATTGTCCCCCTCAGTGCAGCATGAAAGAGTGAAGGAAAGTGAATCCTGTGAAGACTCCGGTTGTAGATATCCACCTCCCACCCCAACCTGTCCCCCACCATTCCTGTCCCACCCCCAGTCCTTTTAGTATACTTCATTCCATAGACCCAGCTCTGTGCAGGTCTCCCAGGGCACTGTTAAGTGTCTTCTCCCTCAAGATGAATGGAACCTAGGCAGGCAGCAGAGATTTCAGAGCCCTCACAGCTGCTAAAATGTCAGGGCTGAGAGTCTAAGATTGCTTCCCCTGCTGACCCAAGATGAGTTGTTCACCTGCCTAAGAAAAGCACAAGCTTCAGACAGAGCCAATCCATGATTGGTTTATGTTTAAGGTTTTCCTAAAGATTTACTATTCATTTTCCCTAATATTGGAGAGAGATTTATTTCTTATCAATGACTTAAAACAACATGTATACCACTTGGGACAGAAAAATACATGCCAAGCTAGAGTTTTTTTGTTGTTGTTGTTTTTATTTTTATTTTTTTTAAGTTCTGAGGATGGAATCCAGGGACTCACACATGCTAGGCAAGTTCCCTAGCACTGAGCTACATCTCCAGCCCTAGAATTGTGTTTTTAAAACATTGTAATACTCTCATTCATCTCATTCAATTTGGAATATTGGTTATGCACCTACCATAAACTATGCCAGGACACAAAAAAGAAAATGACTTCATCACTGGCTCAGAAGAGCTTTTGGTTTAAGAGAAGACATTGCCGTCATCTGTTTCCACAGTAATGCTGTGTAAAAAATCACCCTCACACTCGGTGCCTTAAAAGAGTTAGTTATTCAAGCTCAGGTCTGTGGTTCTTTTGGGCATTGGTTTGAACTTGGTTCTAAGCTGGAAGTCAAGGTCAATTCTGTGTGCCCTATGGATCTGTCCCTATCCTAATAGGCAGGACTAGCCAGGTATGTTCTTCGCATAAAAGATTAAAAATCAAGGCCAGGACTGGGGTTGTAGCTCAGTGGTATAGTGCTTGCCTCTCACATGTGAAGTGCTGGCTTTGATCCTCAGCACCACATAAATAAATAAAATAAAGGTATTGTGTCTACAACTAAAAATATATTTTAAAAAAAGAACCAAACCAAGTGCACAAATGGCTTTCTTCTACCATTATTTCCAAAGTGGGTTACCTAGCCAAGCTCAGTATTGCTGGACTGAAGAAATGTACTCTGATTTGGAGGAACTTCAAAGTCACATGATAAGGAGTTGGGAATATAGGGAGGCAACCTTAAGAAAAAAATAGTACAATGAACATATTAGGGAAAGATAAATTCATATATGCTTGAATAACAAAGGATGGTGATTTCTAAGGGGAATGGATCCTACTTAAAGATCCTAGGAAAATATTCGTAGACGAGGTACCATTTACACTCGGTCACAGACAGTATCTGCATTTCAAGAGGCAGACATGGGGTGTAGAGCAATAATTCAAAGGAGCTGCATGAGCAGTGTGAACATGTGTAAGTCATTTTCAGTGATAGGTTACAAAGAAATGAATGAAAAGAAAATAACTGCTGTAGTAGAACAAGAAAAGCTGCAAGAAAACTACAAATAGATGCTCAACAGAGGTGGCCAGGCCTCAAAAATTCTTGCATAACATGTTAGTGCTGGAAGTTCTTTGAAAAGATGGCAAGAATATAGTTACCAGGGAATGAAATGTGGTAGCACACACAAGGACAGATTTTTTTGCTTAAATCTTTAGAGCTATAGCAAATGACTTAGAAATTGTCTAGCCCAAACTCTTATTTTATAGGTGAAGAAATTTGCATGCTGGAAATAAATTCTTTTTCTTGTATGTATGTGTGATATAAATCGAATAATATATTTAATATATTAACATATTTTCATATAAAATAATAAAATGTATACTCAGGAAATAAAAAATTTCTTCCTAAATAAACCTATTTGTGTAGAACGTATAATGTATAAACATATTTGTACAAAGACTAAATTCGTTCTCATATATATTGAAAGAGGGAGAGTAAAATGCATGTTCTTCAATGGAGGGTTTAAAGACTTCTTCATCCCCTCAAAACTTACAAACTGCAGGTGTTCTCATCAAGTGATCTTTCTGGTTTCAAGGAACAGAATATTGCTCACGTTATTCAAATGCAAAGAGAAGGTTATTCCTAAAAAGGAATTAAAGATTTCCCCAGATATTCAAGGACTGGACATGCCCTTTGAAATGCTTGGCTTAAGAGAAGAAGTGGGCTGGCTATTCCAGAACTTTCATCAAAATAATGTGTCCTGAATGCCCCTGGGGTGTGTGAGGCAGAGAGATGTTCTCTACCCCCACTCTCTGGTCTGCCCTCCTCACTTGTAAATGGTCATAATCATCCACTAACCAAAACACAATTAGAAAAGTCAGTTGATGTCCCTAATGTATGAATCTTGTGCCCAGAAAAGAAACAAGGAAACTTTGAATCTGTTTCCTTTGGATGATTACCATTAACACAAAGGGGAGATCAAGCAAAGGATTGGAGGCAGGGTGGGATATTTGTCCCCTGGTCTGAACAGGGCCTGTCTAGCTGGTCTCGTCTTATAAAACAAGTTTTATTGAAACAGCAATGCCTGTTCTTTCTATGTTGTCGAAGGCAGTTTGGGCACCACAATGGCAGGCATGAGTGACTGTCATAGAGGCAGCCCTATGGCCTGCAACGTCTCAGAGTGTAAATGGCAATTTGCTCACTGCTGGTGTAGATCACAGAGGATCCGCATCTTTCTGGGATGGGTGCTGCTTGCATGTGCTTCTGCCTCTGGGGATGGTCAGGAGCGAAGGATCTCAGTGAGTCCAACCACTGTGTGAGCCTTCTCTGAGAAACTGGTGCTTCTCCTTCCTTCCCGGGGCTCACTGTAAGACCACCATCCTTTAACCCTTTGTTCTCTGTCCTTTGCCAGACTCCGACCTGAGCATGCGCACACTGAGCACGCCCAGCCCAGCCTTGATATGTCCACCGACTTTACCAGGATTTCAGAATGGAAGGGGCTCATCCACCTCCTCGTCCTCTGTCACCGGAGAGACGGTGGCCATGGTCCACTCCCCGCCCCCGACCCGCCTCACACACCCGCTCATCAGGCTCGCCTCCAGACCCCAGAAAGAGCAGGCCAGCATAGACCGGCTCCCGGACCACTGCATGGTGCACATCTTCTCCTTCCTGCCCACCAACCAGCTGTGCCGCTGTGCACGCGTGTGTCGCCGCTGGTACAACCTGGCGTGGGACCCGCGGCTCTGGAGGACTATCCGCCTGATGGGCGAGACCATCAACGTGGACCGCGCGCTCAAGGTGCTGACCCGCAGGCTGTGCCAGGACACCCCCAACGTGTGTCTCATGCTGGAAACAGTAATTGTCAGTGGCTGCCGGCGGCTCACAGACCGAGGGCTTTACACCATTGCCCAGTGCTGCCCCGAACTGAGGCGACTGGAAGTCTCAGGCTGTTACAATATCTCCAATGAGGCCGTTTTTGACGTGGTCTCCCTCTGCCCCAACCTGGAGCACCTGGACGTGTCAGGTAAATGGAAGCTGCCCTCCCAGCACCGGCTTTCTCAATGCACCATCCCAAAGTCAGTAGAGACATTTCCACCCAATTGAGGGTCCCCTTCTTGTTGGCTACCAGAGATGGGCAATGGGTGGTAGGGAGGCCAGCTCTCCTTAACAAACTGTCTTCTGGTAATTGTGACCCTGAGGGCTAGAAGTATTCCTTTCATCCAATAATGTCACCTTCTTAGAAGAGCTCTAGACACCTTGTTAGTATGACTTAAATGTAACCTTCCTCTCCATAATGATCACAGTCACTTCAGAGCTTAATGGAAACAAAATATCCAATTTAGATTAAGGGAACTGAGTAACTCCAGCCTCCTTTAGTAGCTACCCTTTTGCCTACTTGTTGGTCCATAAAGCTTGAGATCTATGCCTAGGAGGTAAAAATGACCTTGAATCCTTCTTTCTGCAGACCTAATGAACCCCTCAGTCATGGCCTATGCTCACGATGGCTTTGCCCTT